TGTATGTTGATCTTGTATCCTGCTACTTTGCTGAATTGGTCAACTATGTCCAATAGTTTTCTTGCTGAGTCTTTAGGGTTTTCTAAGTATACTATCATTTCAAATTTTGTTGGGCTGACATAATGCTTTTTGATGGGGCCAAAAGATTACAATCATATTTTGTTTTCTTTTTTTAAAGCCCAGTAACTAATAGAAAACACAAAATTCCATGTGAGCTAATTAAATTTGGATCACGGGTTTTAGATAAAGCTGAATTTTTATCATATTTTTCCTTCCCCTCATTAGACTCCTCACTCACTGAACACCTCAACCACTCTGAGCTTTATTTTTCTCCTCTCTAAACAGTAGACCTCCTGCCTTTTCCCCAGGCTGGCAATTGGAAAGATTAAATAAAATGGGAGGGTGTGAGAACACTCTGAGAAAGTGGTGTTGTCAGGAGCCACTCCAGCCCCTAGCAGCTTCACGTGACACAGTAGAAACTGTCCTGGGGCACTTTCCAGGCTGCAGTCTTTATATAAAGCGATCATTAGGTTTTTCCCTCATGGAGCTGCAGTGTGGGTTTGAACTGTCACCCTTTTGGTTACCAGCCAAGTGTTGAACCAGTGTGCCACTTTTGCTGTTTATTGTCACCGCACGGCCCTTTGTTATCCAGTGGTGCTGCGTGTCACGAATTTCTGCTTTAACAGTAACAGCATCTTCATGCAATGAAAAAGCAAGAGGCTGGAATCCTTGATAATAAATTGGAATTAAGAGGTAGAAAGGAAGGGGAAGAAAGGGCGCCAGTCATCCTTTGAGCCAGGCATTGATGTCTCAGGACTATTTGAGAACTGAGGTGGGGAAGATTAGGAAGTCTGTGATTGTCAGCATCTCCTGGAAACATGCTAAAATAACAGATTCTCACATCAGCCTAGACTGAATTAGGGCCCAACTGGGAGAGTGTTTGGCAAAAATAAAAATTTAAACCAGGCCTGAGGGCCACAGATTAAAATCACCCACCTTGGGCTTGGTAACATAACATTCTGTCTACTAGGCCAACGTAGCTCTATACATACATACATACATATATATGATTTTTTTATCACATATATAGCTCAATGTCAAAGTCATTGGCTGTCAAGTCAGAATGACTCATAACTGAGCCTCTAGTGGGTTTTCAGAGGCAGTAAATCAGAGGGGAGATGGCCCAACTGTATTCTATGGATTCAAACCATCAAAGAGACCTGACTTCAACTCACAGCACAGCTTTCTGCCAGCTGTGTGCCACAGCTAGCTAAATGAATGGATAGATGCATACAAACCCAGGCAGACAGACAGCTATATAGAGAGAGTCATGTGGGGTTGTTTTTTCCAATAAAGTTATATGTCTTTGTTATTAACATCTTTAAAACACTTGTATGTGGCAGGACCCTGTCACAATATGCAGCCATTTACTGTGAAGTCCAGTGCAGGGGCCAGAGGGCTCTTTCATTCGGAAACCAACTGTGATACAGACGTGTCACCTCATAGATTAGATGTCACATTGCCCTGATGTGCTGCAGAAGTAACCACTGAAGAGAGACTTGACTTCCCAGCCTGATAGAAACTGGCAGGAAGCCTGAGATTGTGGCTCTGGGAAAACCTGCAGCCTTGGACCTGAACTCAGTCCCGTCCCGTGCTGATGCCACACAGCAGGTCCGGGAAATGAACAGCAACACCCTGAGGCACAGAGTCCTGGGAGCAGTCACCATCTGAGACCAAAAGGGCAGCTTTATCTGTTCCAGAACAAAGCTTAGCAGACAGAAAAGGGCAGGAAACAAACCCAAATAGGGGCCCGTGAGGAGAGTGCCGTCACTCTGAGGGAATGGCAGTTAATGTTACGAAGCAAAATGTGTCCAAATCATTGAATGGGAAATAATTTGCAGTGTAAACCTTACCCATACCACAGTACAAAGAAACACTAGAAAATACAAGTAATTGAAATGAAGGGGGGTGGGGGGAAATCATTACCTGTGGAGTGTGTGAGAAGCTTTGCCTGCTGAGAAGTTTGTAACATGGATTTTTGTCCCCTCCGGCTCCAGATGGAAGACTTTCAGATCTATGAGAAGTACTGTCAGAACAAGCCCCGCTCCGAGAGTCTCTGGAGACAGTGCTCAGACTGCCCATTTTTTCAGGTATGTTTCGGAGCCCCTTCTTTGGCATAGAATTTAATGGGTGAGGTGGCCTTATTTTTTTAAAATTACTTTTAATGAAAGTTTCCAGAGACTTAGGGTTTCCAGTCATTCATTGTTGCACTTTTCTCCATGCCCATCTCTTCCCTCCCCTCCCCCAATTCACTCTTCTTGAAAAGTAAAAGAAAAACTCTTTCATTGTTATGCAACCCTCCCCGCAATTCTACTCCTTTTAAAGAAAAACTATTGGGCATGGTCTAAACCAAGAGTTGTTTCTTTGGTTACAGGAATGCCAGAAGAAATTGGACCACAAGCTGAGCCTGGATTCTTACTTGCTGAAGCCTGTTCAGAGAATAACTAAGTATCAGTTATTACTCAAGGTGAGAGCCCCCATGGAGGAGTCACGTGTATGTCAATCATCTCAGCTGAAATGACAAGGCTCTTCACAGCCCAGCCTCGCCCTGTCACCTCCAGTTCATCAGATGCCCTTCACCCCCCAGGGCTCTGTGACAGTCACTTCCTGGGCCCTGCCCCCAGGCTTCCCCTCATCCTGGAACCCCCATCCAGACTTGCTGCACGTGCCACCCTACCAAGCCACTTTCTTCCTGTGCCTCTTTTCAGCCTTCATGGACTGTTGTGGTGTTAACTGTGTCCAGTCAGCCCACTGCTCATGGTGACCGATACAATGGCACGAAATGCTGCCTGATCTTGTGCTGTCCCCGTGATGACCACTGTAGTCCATAGGGTCTTCATGAGGTGGTTTTCAGAGGTGGATTTGGCAGGCTTTTCTTCCTAGTCCATTTTGGTCTACAAGCTCTGCTGAAAGCTGTTCAGCGTTATAACAACATGCAAACTTCCATTGACAGGCTTGAATGGGGCTCCTCCACAGAAGGTGGGAATTCTATCACCAGACGACCAGGGAGCCTTCTTATGGGCCAACTAGCCGTTGTTAAGGAACCAAAGAGAAACAGATCAATTATAACAGAACTCCCAGTGTTCATGGAACACACATTCCAATGAATTTCCAGTCTCTCCATACTGTAATGACGTGCTTGTTCATCAGCCTTCCCCTTGTGTTCCTAGAATCCCCTCACCCTCCCAGTGTCCCCTCACCCAGTGCCCCCTCGCCCTCCCAGTGTCCCCTCATGCCCCCAGTGTCCTCTCACGCCCCCAGTGCCCCCTCACCCTCCCGGTGTCCCCTCATCCTCCCAGTGCCCCCTCACTCTCCCAGTGTGAGGTACTCAAGGACAGGCCCTGTAGCCTCTTGTATGTTTTCTGTCACCAGCAAAGACAACCCGATCATCCCCGACCGACTAAGTGACTGAATGGATGTGCAGATAGGTACACGTAACAACATTTATTTCCACGGTGTTACAATTGAAAGAGAAAAGCTGTTAGTTCCCAGGAAGAAAGGAAAATGATGAACCCTAGGCATGATCAGTGTGTAAATTTATTGCCCAAGATCCTCTAGAAGCTGGCAGGAAACAGCATTTTCCCTCTGGCAAGGATCTGAATTACACGTGGTTTTCTACTTCAGGAGAGCGGGCACGCTCCTGCACATCGGCTAAACATGTCAGTATGTTTGACTCCTTTGGCCAAGTTGCTACTGTTACAGTTGGTGCTATTATTTGCCATCAAGTCAGAACCAACTTGTAGCGGCCCTTCCAGCAGTTTTTGGAGGCTGTAAATTGCATGTGAGGAGATTACCCATCTTTCTCCCACAGAGCAGCTGGTGGATTCAAACTGCATGCCTTTGGGTTGGCAATGCAGCTCCTTACCACTAGGCCACCAGAGCCCCCTGTTGGTATGGAGTGGAGGAAACTTCCGGAACTACTTCAAAGACCTGATGGGCTTGCCCAGACAGGCTGCCCATGTTAGAGGAGGGTGGACTGAGTGTGTGTCATTGTGCCAGGGTGGCAGTGCTGCTCCTCCCGGGCGACAAATGCCTTAGAAGCCGCACTCTGTATGAGAAGGACGCATCTTTGGGACCTAGCAAAGATCTGCATTTCTCAGAACACTCTTGGCTACTTTTACATCAGGACATAAGAATGCAAAGAGTTATACAGCGAGCGGTAGGGTTTTAGTGCCAGATGAGCAGCAGTGTTTTCAGTGACAGATGTGGAAACGTGGCCAACTTCTCTCCTCGCCAGGAAATGCTGAAATACAGCAAGAACTGTGAAGGGGCTGAGGACCTGCAGGAGGCCCTGAGTTCCATCCTGGGGATCCTCAAGGCCGTCAATGATTCCATGCACCTGATCGCCATTACAGGCTATGACGTGAGTGACGGCCCCCCTGGGAGCCTGGTGGAGGGTGGGGAAGGGGCCTGGGGTACGGCTTGAGGACAGTCCCTGCTGCACTTAGGAAGAGACAACACTCATTCTTACCCAGATGTCTCAAGACTGCAGAATCTGCCAAGTACTGCTGGGTGGCGATGTTAGGTGCCATCAAGTCGACTAGAACTCACGGAGACTCTCTAAACAGATGTGAACCTTGCCCCGTCCTCACCATCTCTCACATGTTAAAGTCCATGGTTATAATAGTTGTGTCTCAATCCATCTTACGGGGATCCTCCTCTCTGACCATCCACCTTTCCAGCATGTCGTCTTTTACCCAAGGACTGCCCCCTGTCCCTGATAACATGCCCACAGTATGAAGTTTCACCGTCCATGTCTCTAAGAGGCACTCTTGCTGTGCTTCCTCCATTCCTTGATTTGTTCTTTTGCTGGGTTGAGCCTTCTAAAGAGCACCCACACTGGGGACCACTGAGCTGTAGTTCAGAGCTGTCTCCTTAAACTTTTTCTAGGTATTTGCCTCGCCTGGCATCTTGTTGAAATGCAGATTCTGCTTCAGTAGGTCTGTGCTTGGACCTAAGATTAGCAGACTCCCAGTTAATGCTGATGCTGCAGTCTGCAGACCACGCTGAGGACAGCACACGGATAGGGAGCATCAAAGGGCGTGCACCCTTGATGTTAACCCCAGTAAAGTCGGAACCGCAAAACTACCTTTTAGCTCTGAGACGGTATTGAAACCATCTCGTTTCTTTTCTTCAAAATGAGGTGTCAGACGGAAATAAATGTGACAGTCTGTTTCTTCAGTGACTCTTGCCCATTGATTTTATAAAGGTCAAACTTATTGCCATCAAGTCAGAACTGGTGAGAGCTGACTCTCCCATGGGTTTCTAAGGCTCTAGGTTGCCCATCTTTCTCCCTCGGAGCTGCTTGGGGTTCTGAACTGCCAGAGAGGCGTGGCCTTTGGGCTGGTAGTGTAACTCACTCTGGACTGTGCCACCAGGGGTTTGGGGTTTTGTACGTGTGATTAAAAGTGGTAATAAATTCCCTTCTTCCCCCTTCTTGCTTTTACTGTTTGCTCACTGTGCGTCTCCCCCAGCACTCACTCTCCGTGTTAAATAGAGCCTTTGTGATTGCATCTGCTCCAGGGGAACCTGAGCGACCTGGGCAAGCTGCTGATGCAGGGGTCATTCAGCGTCTGGACCGATCATAAGAAGGGCCATGCCAAGGTGAAGGACTTGGCCAGGTTCAAGCCGATGCAGCGCCACCTGTTCCTCCACGAGAAGGCTGTGCTGTTCTGCAAGAAGAGGGAGGAGAACGGGGAGGGCTACGAGAAGGCCCCTTCCTACAGCTACAAGCAGTCCTTGAACGTACGTACAGCGCCTGCTGTCAGCAACTGAGTGCTTTGTGTAAGAGCCTAAGAGGAAAGTGTCTGGCATTGTGCTTCATTCTTGGTTAGAATGAACACCTTGACCATGGACTCTTAAACTTCTGATGTATGGATCTAGAAATCCACAGGGTGTAGGCATTCTTAACCCCCTGTCCCAAAAAAATATGTCTATCATTTAACTTGGGCATCGACCTTTGAAAGATAAAGTGGGTGCCTTGATCATGCTTACTGATGTCTGTTCTCTAACGTTGTTTTTTTCCAGATGACTGCAGTTGGCATAACAGAGAATGTGAAAGGGGACAGTAAGAAGTTTGAAATCTGGTATAACGCCAGAGAAGAAGTTTATATCATACAGGTAGGGGCCACTTATTTTTGTTACTCAGTCAAAATGTTAAGGTATGGGTTGAATTTCTAAAGGCTTAGCAATGAAATGCTTCTAATAAGAACTGGAATTTAGAATATTCAAAGTTTTTATCAGCCATTTTTCATGTGAAAGTCCTGCCCTGGGCCATCTATAATGTGAGCTTGACTCAGGACAAAACAGGGAAGAGAGGTGAGGAATACAAATGAGGGGTGCTTTATGTATATTGTTTGAACCAGAGGAGAGTGCCCATCTTTTTCCCAAGGAGCAGCTGCTGGGTTTGAACTGCATACCTTTGAGTTGACAGCCGGCTCATCAGCACTAGGCCACCAGAGCTCCCTTATGTATATTGTGAAGAGAGTCCAAACCACAGACTCTACCAACTTGTATGCCTTGAACACGTGATAGCGCTCACTAACCTTAGTCCATGTTTAGCACACATTGATCTGGTTCTCTTAATAGGAAAGTGTATTCCTGGACCCTGCATATGTTCTTTTGCTTGATGAGGGTGAGAAGTTTACATTTATTTCAGGAACAAGGGTCTTTGACAGATTCCATAGCTTAACTACATAGTTCTGTCAGTGGCAGGAGTAAACTAAATGCTCTGTCCACAGCTGGACTGTATGTGGTGGCTGTGCCTCTTCTAGCTGCCATTTTAAATTCTAAATGGCTTGCCGGTGTGACTCTCAGGTTATTTGCCATCCCTGACAGGAGGGGCTTGGTAGAGTCTGGGCCCCTGCACACTGCAGTCCCATCCCAGCTGAAGGGCCCCACAGAAATAAGAGGAAGATGTGGCCTTGGCTCAGGCCCTATCTTCCACCTCGAGCCAAAAGCGCTTAAATAAGTAACAGAAGAGCTGCTGGGGACCAAATCAGGGGCTTTTCTGCCTTTCTGTAGAGCTCAGTATTCACAGATGCAGTGTCTTCAGTGACTTCCTTAGAAGCTACCAGACTGAAACACCACAATTTATTTCTTAAAAGATATTTCCTTGTTTACTGGTATTTCTTTTGGGGGGATAGGCACCAACTCCTGAGATTAAAGCAGCATGGGTAAACGAAATCCGGAAAGTATTGACCAGCCAGCTGCAGGCTTGCAGAGGTAAGGACATTCTTGGCAATTCTTTTCCTTAACCTTAGCTCCAGGTATATTGTTACTTTCATCAAAAGCAACTGCAAAATTCTTAACTAAGATATTTTGGCATTTAAAAGTAAGGATGTTAAATGTGAATTCTTACCTCATGGATCAATGGTTTGTTCATTTCCCTCATTGCAGAAGCCAGTCAACATAGAGCATTGGAGCAGTCCCAGAGTTTGCCTCTGCCCGTACCATCAAACACAAGGTGAGGGGTAACATCCAGTGTGGAAGTCAGCATGTGGAGAAGATGGGAAGTAGGCTTTCTGTGTGTCCCAGTGTTCACTGCAGCACTGTTCACAATGGCCAAAGGTGGAACCAGCCAAAGTCCTATTAACATATTAATAGATAAACAAAATGCAGAATATACATACAATGGAATAGTATTCGTCCATAAAGGAACTCTGGTGGCCTCGTGGGCAACTAGACACACTGCCAGCTCAAAAGCAGGCAGTTCAAATCCACCAGTTGCTACTTGGAGAAAGTTGGATAATCTCTGGTCGCTTCTGAAAACTCACTGGAGGATCATCTATGAGTCAGTTCCAAATTGACAGCAATGAGTTGAGTTTTGTTGAGAAAGAGAAATGAATTCTGGTTCATGCAACCATACTGAGTGTGCCTTAAAACATGCTGTATGAAATAGCTCTGATGGCAAATAACAAATACTATATGATCTGACATATATGGAATATCAAGGATGAACAGCTGTGTAGTTATAGGTGTTTCTTTGTAGCTACGAGGAGGTAGGAGGTGGGAATTTTTGTATTAAAGGGCATTTATAACCTGGGGTGCTAGAAACAGTTCAGAATACAGCAGTGATGGTTGCACAGAATGGTGAAAGTAATTAATATCCCTTTCAATAATCAATTTGTACCCTTGAAAAATGGTTACAATGAAAGATGTGTTGCTCTATGTCTTTTACCTGAGAGGAAAATACTGTCTTCAGGACTGAATGAGAAATCAGGGAGAGTTATTTACCTGGCAATATATTTCTTTCTTTTCTTTTTTTGCATTCTAATCATTAGCCCCACCAGAGGAAACACAAAAACCAGTAAAAAGTTGGAGGAAAGAAAAACTGACTCTCTGAGCCTTGAAGGATATGGAGGCTCAACGGCACTGCCAAAGCCCCCAGAAAAGGGCAAAGGTGGGTGTCTGTGGTACCTGAACCTCACACGTACATAGAGGTGTCTACTGCATGTTCGTTTACTAGAGCCCCATGTGTCTGGGACAGACACAGCTGTCTTCTGCTGGAAATGCACAGCTTCTTCTTAACACAAAATGGCATTTGTAAAGAGTTCACAATTCTCTCCTTTCCCTGGCCCACCTTAAAGCCCTTGAGTCCTGCCGAAGAAGTCATTGTGCAGCCAGTGAACGCAGCACCCATTAGGCTCTGCATCCACAGTTCTAGAAACCTGTTTGAGTCCAGAAGTCAGACCTCCAGTGGGGACCTGCATTCTGACCTGAGCACCTGCTGGGCCCTCTTCCCCAGCCCAGCTGTCTCCTGTGCTAGGGCGATGTCTGTGCCCTACATTTTCTGTCTCTCTTCCTTTGTAGATGACACAGTCACTAGCTCTACCTCAGAAAGTTCTGCGCTTTCCAAAAAGCGCTTTACCCTGCAGGGCTTTGCTAACCTCAAAGGTCAGAAAGGTAAAAAGGCGCCCACTGTCCTCTGGAAGTCCACCCTTCACTGTGTACTGGTCCTGTGTCTGTGTACATCCATGTGGGGATCATTCATGGGGATGGTCTCCCGAGGAATCATTAGCTTCCTTCATCACTCAAGTCAAGCTCATTTAAGTCCATTTTTTTCCACTGAATCACTTGACTGACTTATGCCCATGTCAGTCTGTGTTTGGCTAAACACAGAACCAAGGTGATCCTTTAGGGGCAGGCCCTTCCCTGGAAAAGTGCAGCTGAGCTTTCTAAATGAAACTTTGCTCAGAAACTGGAGTTGTCATGTGCTTTTTTGATCCAGCTCCTCCACTCTTCCTCCCCCACCTCCCACCGTCTTGCTTTTTTCCTGTTACCTGCACTGCCTTAACCTTGCAGTCGTAACGACTCCTTTCTGCCACTGAACTGAAGTACTGGTTTCAGACATGCTTATAGGTGTGCTTGCTGGTGACCAGAGCTACTAAAGGATCCCTTTGGAGCAAGATCTCGAAAAGCTGGATTCACTTTGAGCGGGATGAGCTGAAACAGTTTGCACAGCAAGCTCTAAAGTTTCCAGTATGTCTGCTTTGACCTCGCCCTCCAGATGCTAAAAGCCAGTGTCTTCCAAGTTTCTTTTGATTAGTCCAAACACTGGCCCTGGGAGTCTTTGCCCTCCAATTTGTAAAATACTGCTGACTTAGCCTCAAAGAAGAAATAGAGAGGAAAGAAGGAGGAAGGATGGGTAAAATGGCCAAGGAGGAGGATGGAAGGGAGAGGGAAACAGGAAAGGAGGAATAACAGAAAGAAATTAAATATGCATTCTGGCTACCTGCTTAGCCAAAGCAAAGCAAAATGATGATACCATTTATCACAGTCACCTCATAAATCAGCCTCCTGTCCTGGTCACCCCCTCCCTTCACCTGAGACCCCTGGGCAGTTCAGTTTGGGTCACTGAATGCTCCTCTTTGAGTCAGTGGAAATGAACCCTTGAGTCTGTGTCTCATTCCTGCATGAACTCTCAGATGCTCACATGGCGCTCTTCCCCCTTCACGTGTGTTTCCTCACTCTGTCTCTCTTCTGTTCTATTTTTCCCTCCTCCTCCTTCTGCAGCTTCTCCTACCAGTCCTGACAAAAAAGCTAAGCGACATGAAGTAAAGAGCGACCCAACTCCTTTTGGTTTGAGAGGTAGAGTGATTCAACCTTCTGAACGTGGACTGACCATCTAATCCATTTTACCATGAAGTTAGGAACACTCCTTGCTTTGTCCTTTATCCGTGGTCTAAAATGTAAATCTTCCCTGGCCAGAAGCAGATTTCTTGGTTTTTTCCAAGGCGTGACACTCTGGCTGTAATTACAATGATGGTGTTTATATGTATCCGTGTAATTTCTCCAGCCAAACCCTCCCAGCTCCTAGAGAACTGCTCCTTGGCCACAAGTGAGTGGCTTCAGGTAACAGAATGTTGCTGTTGTCACCTGGTCAGCAGTGCTTTGGTTGGGTTTTACTCCTCAGCAGTTGTTCACAGACCCCCAGAGCAGAGGGACCCCCATCATCTCCCACTTAAAGCAGAAGCATCGTTTTGGACACATAAACTAGAAGGGAATCCAACTCCTCCTTTTTCTTAATATCTGTAATTTATTGTACTTTGTTCAGAATATAAAGAACAGACCATTCAGAAAGTCAGTACATTCTACCTGTACAATTCAGTGATCATATTCTTTGAGTTTTGCAATCAAAATTGTTCCTCGCCCATTATCAAATCCACTGCCCATTCAGTTGCTGTGATCAATTTGATCCTAGATGTTAAAGGGGTCTAATATCTAAAGCAAACTTTATTAGTTAAGCTAAACTCTTCTTTGGTTTTAAGAGGCTTACCCCTCATTTTATAGAGAAGACAGCCTAACTCATACAACTAGATAACATCCACATGGCTGCTATATCCAGGACCTTCTTATTCCTTGTCCATCTCATTTTCAAAGACTGTAGCCTTTGTAGGAAACCCAACGGCTTCTCTGGCCTCAGTTGAAGGTAATCAAGTTCACAGAGAAAAAGTCACTCTGAACCTTCTCAAATTCCCCAAACAACTAAAATGAGATAAAAAGAAAAATTGTCAACCTACTGAACGAGTGTCCCCTTAATCCCTACCTCCTTGCCCTAAGACCACCTGCACTATCAGAGGGCACTCAATCCCCAGGATTCAGACAGGAAGCCCTCTCTCTACTATTTGGCACAAAATCACAGGGGCAAGGAACTTGTCAGCTGTTCTAGTCCTTCACAATGATTAAGACACTTGACTCTCTGCTGCTGACAACCCAGGTACTTGAGAAAAAAGAAAATGAAAACAAAGAAAAAGAAAACAAAAGTTGTTTGGTCTCCTAGGAAGGCATACTTTTGCTTAATAAACATTGTCTACTTTGGTCTGGAAACACTCAAGGCACGTTCCTTGGTGCCGTTTCCTTTGTGTTGGAAGCTGGTGGTGGTTAATGTGAGCCTTGGAGCCAAACTTAGCTGTGGATCAGGTATTCATTCTCCCATTTTTTTCAGCCAAGTGATTCCACCTCTCCAAGTGACCATTTCCTCATCTGTAAGATGAAGTCATAATACATAATAATATGATCCTGCTGGGTCAAAATGATTGAGTTTCCTTATCACCATCATTCTTTTCAGCCTTTGACGGCTGATGAACCACAGGCCCTTGTGGCTGGTGCAAACGCAGCTGCCACGTAAGCATCTGCCTCTCAAAAAGCTTTATCAAGCCATTTGCTTTACTCCACTGGCAATGTAAAAAAATATTTGAAAAAAAAAAAACAACAAAACAGTAGAGGTGGCCCTATTCACAAGTCCTCTTGTCGTCCCCTCACAGCATAAATAGGTAAAGTGTAATGTTTATAGTTGTTCAACTTCCAGTTGTTCAACTTCCTGATATTGTTGTTGTTCCCTGATCACCACCTGATGCATAATTAGATTTCAGCGTTAACCTGCGATTACTGCAGTCTCACAACTACCTAACACTGATACAGAAAAGTCATGCAGAGGCCCCACGTACAGGCCAGACCTTGTTCTTAAAAGCAGAAGTTTTCCTATAAAGCTTTTTTGAGATGGCAGTGTTGCCTTCTCTAGGCACAGAAACTTCGCAAATACAGAAGTCTTTCTTTCTGAACATTGCCCTCAATTTGGGTTCCATTTTGCCCAGAAACCTATTATGAATGCTTCATGACAGCCAGTGTGGTGGCTTGGCTCAGGGAGAAGATCCTTCTAGAATCCACCCGAGCATCTCATCCCTTACTGACTGGTAGGCGGCCAGGCCTGAAAGCCCCCATGTGACTCTCTCCCAGGGCTGCCACTGAGCTGCCTATATTTCAGATGTACTCAGAGCATTGTCATTGTGCCCCAATAGGGTGATTTCTAGCTCGTAATCTGACACTCTCAAATTCTTGCACAGATGCAAGCCTGGTAGTGCCACTGAGCAGGGCCAAGTGGCTCAGCACTTCTCACCTGGCCCCGGCAGCCCCGCCCCAGGAAGGTAAAGCCTGGCAGCTCTCGCTGCCTGCTGGAGCCTGCTGTGTGCAAGGAAGCCCGAGTCTGCTGTGCAGGGGGTCTGCTGTGCAGGGGGTGCTGGCCTGAGGCAGGCGCTCTGGGCTCCCAATGGAGTCCGCCCACAAGCCCTGCCTATGCTAGGTCTCTTGGCTCTGCTGGCTGATGGGGAACTCACTGCCTCCAGCTCCCTTTCCCATCTACTTAAGACGAAAGCTGGCTTCCTAACTCCTCCCTAAAGCATGCTTTCACTGCCAACCTTCACAATGACTGACCGTTGGGAGCAGGCATGCTCAGTCAGTTCACCTTTGGACAAACTCCTCACCTTAAAAGGTAACATTTATCCACCTGTTGTTCTTCCTTGACACACCTCTTCTCAGGGACTAGCATGCTGCCAGCTGCTTCACAGATGGTTTGGAGTTGGATGTGCCAAAGCCCCGCTCTTGATTAGCAATAATATGCTTATTTCCCTGATGTGCTTGTTTCTTGGTGAAAATACCACTTAGTATCATGCAGATGACTGTACCTTAATACCCTGGGAGTTTAACTTGGGTATGTCATTTTATTCCTGGCATTTATTATACTTACTGCTTATGAAGTCATCATCTCCCATCTCCCCACAACTTGCTTGAAATCTCCCTCCTAAAATGGGAACTTCAGTTGGGCATACAATGCAGTATTAACACTAGTTATGGAAAGTCTTTTTTTTTAAAAGGCTAAAAGAAATAGCCCTCTTTGCTGGCTTAGTGTACATGTTTATATGAGGGCTGCCTCTGAATCCAGGTTGAGTTCCTGTCCATGTAACCTGAGACCTATCTTCTAACAAGTGTGTGCCTCCGTGTGCCCATCTGTAAAATGAGCATCGTGTTCCTGCCTACCTCAGAGGTGACTGAGGAGACTAAATGACTTCACAGGTGTCAGCGCGTAGACCTGTGCTGGTGCCGATGTGCTCTCCATAACGGCTCCTTATTGTTATTGTTGTAACCCATCTTTCCTAACCCAGTCTAATGGCTGTGAAAATTATAGACATTTGTTGAAAATGCCTTCTCTTGGCGTATTTACGTTAGGGCTCCAACATAGGTAGGGTGACAGGCGTTTGGCATTATTCGTCACTCAGAGTTTCTGTATTTCCTCAGAAACTAGTAGGAAGATAATCAGAGTTTTGTTTTCCTTTATCTAGGAAGAGACAAGCTTTTATGTGACTCCTGGATGTGCTGTGATAAACACAGCTACCGAGGAAGGGCTGCGAGTTGAGTGTCTTCCACAGAATTGCCTTAGTGGATCCTAGCAAATGCTCTTAAGTCCTAATGCCCTAAGCTTGTTGTCACAGTTGAAGGGAAGTGTGTCAAGTGCTTGGGAAGTGTAAAATAGTGTCCTACACAGCTCTTGGTAAAGTCCCGGGAAAATGACAGGCTGTAATTGGGGACCTGTAGTTACATTTCAAGGAGGGGTCACATAGGCCTGGCCTGGCGCAGGCTGCAGGTGTGGGTGGGTGCCACCATCCGTGAGACCAGTCATCACTCGGCCTATTCCTTTCTTAGGTTGGAGCAAAACTTCTCATTCTCTGGAGGCCTCTGAAGACAATGACGGCTGGTCAAGTGCGGAGGAGCCGATAAATTCATCCGACGGAGAGGAAGAAGGCGGAGCAGGTCCCAAGAAACTGGTAATGTTGGCCTTTCTGGATTTGGTGCACATGTGTGTGTGGAGCCTCTGACTTTAATCACCACTTTCCACAGTGCCCACACTTCAGAGACGACACCACCCTTCAGAGATGTATTGTGCTCATTTGACTCATTCTAGCTTGCGCAGGGCTTCTGGTGGTTGACAGGAGCTGTCAGCTTGTCTGTGACTCAGGCCAATCCAAATCACCGCCCACTCCTGTGCCATCTGCATGGTTATTGGAATGCTCAAGTCCCGCGTTGTGGCCACTGTGTGTTCTCAGAGCCTTCCTCTCAGCAGACTCATCCGCCAGCCCTGGGCTGGGCAATATTTCATTGTGCTTTATAAGGTTTTCACTGACTCATTTTGCAGAGGTAGATGCAGGTCTGTCTTCCTAGCCTGTCTGACTTGAGAAGCACCACTGAAGACCATAGGTGGCGCTGCTGGTACTTGAAATACTGGTGGCATATCTTCCAGCATCACAGCAACATGAAAGGCCACGGCGGTATGACAGTTTGACAGATGAGTGCTGTTGCTACGTACAGTTAACTACAACTCATAGAAATCCTATGAACAACAGATCAAAACCTAGCCCTGTCCTGTACCATCCTCACAATCCCACCACACTGAAGCCCATTGTTGCAGAACCTTGGCTGTAAGGTGCAAAAACCCACTGGAGAGTCAGCTCTGGGTTTGTTACAACTTGACAGCAAAACCACCACCAAATACTAACATATGTTATTATATACCATCAAGTCAGAGTCGACCCATAGCTGACCCTCCAGTGGGTTTTTAGAGGCAATAAATCGCATGGGAGGTAATTGCCCATCTTTTTCCATCAGAGAAACAGGTAGATTCGAATCATGTGCTTTTGAATTGTCAGTGCAGCTCCTTACCACAGGCCACCAGAGCTCACACAGTGATTGGGGTCACGTATGTAAGAAATTATGAGAAGGGCACAGGAGAGGACAGAGTTCAGATCTGTTGTTCATAGGATCACTGTGAGTCATACTCAACAGCACCTAACAACAAACTAACTACAAGTAGACTGTCTTCATTTGAAAAGGGACAGGTCATACGTTTATTGTTCATACCATCAAGTTGGAACTGACTCATAGTGACCCTCTAGCAGGTTTTCAGGGGCTTCCAGTCACAGGAGAGGAGACTGCCCATCGTTCTCCCACAGAGCAGCAAGTGATTCAGCCTGCGTGCTTTAGAGTTGCCTGTGAAACTTCCTACCACTAGACCTCCAGAGCTCCAGCCTTTCAGTAGATAGCATGTTCTTACCGAACTTTTTAGAAGCTATAACTCCATCTCTGTCTCGTTTTTAAGAAAAAGGGAATTCTCTTAAGTATAGATTTGCATTCCAAACAATATTATCTGTTAATGGCAAAGAATAACTATTTCCAAATAAATTAACCCGTGTCAGGATTGTACCATCAGACACTTTTGGTATATTCCATGCCTGCTCTGATCTATTACCAGAAATACAGCAGCAAACAAAAAGTCTCGGATTCTGGAGGAGAGAGATAAATAAGAAGCAGGCAAACCTGTAGACATGCTCAGCATGATAAATGCCATGGAGAAAAGTCAAGCTGTGTAAGGAGATGGGGATGGAAGGGGCCTTGTTTTACACAGGGTAACAGAAGTTGCTTCTGAACTTTTGAGAAACCTGGAGGAAATGAACTGCTGTCTCACCTGTGCACAGCTCAAGGGAAGCATTCTAGGGGAGGAACAGTGGTAAGCAGTCTTGGATCGAGCAGATTGTGAAGGGTCAGGAGGGGAAGGATGAGGTCAAAAAGAAGCCATATTTGTGGCAGGATTGGGACTCGATGTTGGGAAACTGACTGGGAGGTTTAAAGCAGTTATAACACTGTCTGGTCACTCAGACTTATGTGTGGAGAAAAAGGTTATAGAGGACAGAAACCAAACAGACATCAATACTAAAAAGTTATTTCCTCCCCCCCCACCCCCCGGCATAATTCTGTTCATTGAAGGGTTTTCTGAAGTTGCCTTCTCTTTAAATATTGACAATAGGGCTCTAACATAGTAAGGTGATACTTGTTTTCAGGTAGTTATCACTCAGAGGGTTTCCCTATTTCCTCAGAAACCAGCAGGAAGACAATCAAATGGGCATTGCTTTCCTATTTCTGGAAAGAGATAGCACCTCGCTCCACTCCTGCAGGCACCATGAGGAAAGCACAGTCACCAGGGAAGGTCTGGGAGTGCCTTCCACTGGGCTAGCAGAAGGCAGCCAGTGTTTTGAAGTCCTTTCTCTCTAAGACTCTTTTCATAGTTGCATCAAATTGTGTTGGATTTTTATACTTTAAGAGGAGGCCAGGCAAGTGGTGATGGTGGCTTGACGCACCATGAAAGCAGTTCTGGATTCTGTATGTATTTCAGAGTTAGAGTCTCTTCATTTCTACTATAACATAAATACCATAGGTGGGTGACTTTATGAGCATAAATGTTACTCTCTCAGTTGGGTAGTGTTAAGGTGTCATTGGGTTACTCATAGAGGCCTTACATGGAACAGACTAAGACCCTGCTCAATCTTGTGCCCTTCTTAAAATCTCTACTATACATTAGTCCATTATTGCAGTTACTGTCTCATTCCATCTCTTTTGTTCACTGAAGTCACTAAAAATCAGAACACAGGGAAGTCTATTTTCACTGTCTTCTGTGGGGAAGGTCTTTGTCTCTTTCCAGCTGCTGTGCTCTGTTCTTAGTTTCCTTGGTGACCATGTGGTTTGTATTTTTCTCTTGTATTTTCACTCGTTTATTCACTGTGCTCTTTTGTGTCTCAAGAAATTGGTTGAAAATGCACCCTACACTAATAATGCCCCATTAACATAATGAAGAATGTTGTTAAGTACCGTCTAGTCAGAGCCTACCCATAGTTGACCCTCCAGCAGGTTTTCAGAGACAGTAAATCACACAAGAGGAAATGGCCCATCTTTCTCCCCCAGAAGAGCTGGTGGGTTTGAACTGCATCCCTCTGAGTTGGCAACACAACTTCTTACCACTAAGCCTTCAACTCTTCCTTTAACAAAGAATGGGCGCTCCTAAATGAGCTTACAGCGCCTGGTGTAAGGTTTAGGATCCACCACACGGACTTTGGGAACAAACCATTTAATCTATAATAGAACCTTAGGACTTTTTTGATGATGTGAGCGGAGGGAGCATTCATGGAGGTCTGGAAGAAAGGGGAAGTGTCAAGGATGACTTTACAGTTTCATATTTGTGCACTCATTTACTGAAGATTTATCTTGAGTTCACCATTCTATCCCAAAGGTGACACCACTGCCTAGCAGAGAATAGACAATTTGTTAACTGCTAACCACAATTGATGACAAATAGGTTCTGCTGCTGTTAAATTCACCCTGACATTTCAGTCATGCAAAATGTTGCTGCTTATTCAACAAAGTCAGTGTGAACCAGGAAAGCCTGGTGACCCAGGACAGCTTGTTTTCAAGTCCAGGTGGTGGCTGTGGGCTCCTGCCTTCATTGAGAGCCCTGCAGTTTAGGAAATGTGGCTGCCAGGGCTTTAAGGAGGGAGGGAGCTGGAGCAGCATTGCACCTGTCACTTATGCTCCCTTATCGTTTGGCCCAAAATGGTCACAGAGCCCCAGGTAACTACAAACCAAAACCCACTGTCATCTCCTCAGTTCCAACTGATAGCAACACTGTAGGAGAAAGCAGAACTTCTCTATCAGGTTTCTAAGTCTATAAATACTTAGATGCAACTTCCTGTAAGACTGCAGACTAGACAGAGCCTGTGGGCTGCAGATAACAGATCCAGATGATAATGCTGGAACCCAGAGTTTAAAAAGAAAAGATGAGGGAATACTTAAAACACTGACTAAAGGAAGAAACCGCAGAAAACATCTAATAAGATCATCAAAGGATTAGTGCAGGACACTCTGGTGGCCTAAGGGTAGAGTTGCCCAGCCATCACAAAGGGTCAAGGTTCGAATCTACCAGCTGCTTCACAGGACAAAAATAGGCAATTTTCTGATTTCCACCCTCTAAAAATCCTCTGAAAGGTCACCTATCAGTCAGTTGCAATTCCACAGCAGTGAGTTGCTGCTGTTGTGTATCTGAGTGGCACGGAAGGCAATGGTGGTGACAGTCTCTAGCCACACTTACATCCCCAGCAACTTTGCCCATCAGGCAAGGCTAAAGATCAGCTCTATCTGATCAACAAAAGACTGCAGCCAACACCAATGAGGTGATCCTTCAACTGTTAAGTAAACAGTAGACAACTGTACACATCCACCAGAAGACAGTCTGTGAAACACTAACACAGCACATTTAACACAGCTCAGCAGATATAGTAAAACAAAATAATACAAAGACAGCACCACCACAGTCACTTGTAGGCTTTAAACAAGTACAACCTTCCTCCCCCCAAAAATATAATTAAAACACAGATCCAGAAATGTCTCAAAAGAAGAACACAGGAAGACAAAACTCAAGATGAACTCATGAATCCAAACCAAATATATTAAGATTAAATTTCAAAATGAACTAAAACCTTGGTAGGACAAAAGAGTAGAATTAAAGAAACCAAATACAGACACAGTGAGATGGAGAATAAATCCATCAATAGCCATCTTGTAGAGGATCAGAAAAAAGGATGCAAAAGAATCACATGATACTAGTCTTAAAAATTTGGTGCTAAAAAAAAAATAATGGTGCTCATATTTATCACACATCTGGAGATGCACTAGGCACATTCTACATGCCCAAAAAGCACATGCAGCTGATGTTTACTGCATTGGCTCGCTCAGGTCTGTATTATTCTTAAAGCAGGTCTTGAGTTCAAACTACCTGTGGCTAATTAAATAGCATGTTAAATACTTAAATGAGAATCCATGCAAAGGACAATTATAGAGATTGAGATGAGATATTGTGACTTACTGCTAACTTATGGTACTTCCTGGGTCTGTTCAAAGAGGGTCTGTATACTCTGGTTAGTTATGCATGAGCTTTGGGAATGAT